ATCAAAACTTTGTTGACGGTGAACATCTTGGTCTTCGTGGGTATCATCCTCTTCTCCGTCTACTGCAGGATCCAGGACCGCTCCCAGGAGCTGGTGCAGATCGTCCGGAGCGCGGATCGCCGGGTCAGGAGCCGCGGTGCCAAGGCGGGCAGCTTGGCTGACAGGGAATCCATCCTCCAGCGCCTGGACCACCTGGAAGAGGTGGTCTACAACCAGCTCAATGGTACGGAGGGCCGGGAAGGGGATGCTTCCCTGTGTCCTGGGAGGGTGCTTGCAGATTGGGGGAGAGCACCCAAAGCTCTCGCCTGCCGGGGAGGGAAGCCCCGGGGAAGCACCCGCGCCGACCCCGCTGCTGGAGTGCTGAAAGAGGCGGCCGCGGGGTTTTGCTGGAGGGGTTTGTCATGCACCCCCTCCCCCCCCAAAAAAACCTCCCGGTCCAAAATCAGGACTTCCTCAGTAGGTACAAAGTTAAGGAGGCTGCAGAGCTCATGGCTTTAAGGACTGGGGGAAGTCCCTACAAACCCTACCAGGTTTTGTATTCTGCCTGGATATATTAACTCTGCACGCGTTGGTGTCTGTACAGCAAACGCACGGTTAGCTCCTGCTGGAAGTCATGCTCGGTCTCAGAACTAGTTTAAAAACATTCTGCTGAATTCTTACGCTGTGTACTTTTAATGGTCTTTTTAAACATAGCACCCATATGGTTCCTTAATGACTTTGCCATTTAAATTTGATGTTATCTTTGGTGAGGTGGGGGAGCATCCATCACTTCTTTTTATGACATTCCATTCTAATTCATCAGCCTTGAAAAATCTTGGTAGGCAAGCAAAGAACCCTTCCGTGGTGGTTAGAACAGGCTAAGCCCTAAAAGTTGTTATAGAACAACTAATGTTTCATATAGAAACAAATTCTTCAAAACAAGTGCATTTGTATTTGCATAGATTAGTAAAGTTCTAAATGTGGAAATAAGAAATAAGTATGTGATTAAATACGTCGGTGCTGTGGACAAGAAGAGGCTGGAGGAGTGAACTTTTACATGAAATTATAATACAAATGTAACATTCAGCACCTAGCACCAAATAAAACTTCCAGTGTAAATATGTTTAAATATACTGAATGTGCTTCTAGGCTGCTTGTGAAAATCTTACTCGTAACGCTGATTTAACAAAGGCTACCGTAGTCTCAAAATGCAGACAAATAGGAGGGTTAGGTAAAAGTATATTTCCTATTACCAATTTCTGAATGACTGTATAAATCGAAGTAGGTGAGACTGTTATGGTAATATGCGGTCTGTGCCAGCCAGCGTTACAGAACAGGCATCCCCTTATGCACTCGTCTGTAAAAACCAGGGAAGAGAGGAGGGGAATGGAGAGTGTGGGTGCTCGTCACAAAAATACACAGTCGTGATGAAAGAGTCAACAGCTGTGTTTCCTAACCGTGTTTTGGAGCAGTTTTGAAGAATGTGGGATTTAAGAGGGAAATCCTCCTCCCAAACTCAACAAAGCCATAGAGTTCCCAAACTAAATGCGATTAGTCCCTAGGCGATATCCACTGTAGCTCAACAGAACGGGGTTTTTTTGGCCCAGATTGATTTGTTCTTGGTGTTGTTCATAGGTGAGACTTTGGGTAGGGTTTTACCTGCTCTGGGTTCAGCTCAGCGTAGCATCCCCTGGGGAATCAGCAGGAGTCCTTAATGCATTGGACTGGCACCGTTGCACATAATGACTGTGGCTTCACAGCACGCAGGAAGTTCTCTGTAAAGTATGCCTCTGTTTTGGGGACTTTTTTCTTCTTCTCCTTTCATTTGGTTTGTTGGATATGGAAATCCACAGTGAAATTACTTGAATTGAAATGTTACGTTGCTTCTTTAGGTCACAACAAACGCTATAGGCAGTTTCTTCTTCTTGAAAGTTCTTAACGCAGGAAAATACAGAAAGTTTTTCAAGCTGAGCTGTTCAAATTTCCTATTCATTTCCCTTCAGTTTCTCTCTGACACGGTCGGGTTGTTTTATTACACAGTGGCACATGAACACAGATTAATTATTTCATCATTGTTGTGAAAAGATACTTTACCACTTTCTTCTTTTTTTGTGGGTTTTTTTGGTTGGTTGGTTTTTTTCCCCATCCTGTGGCAACAAAACCGAAAAGTCCTAGAAGATTAGGAGGTGCTCCACTGAAATCATTACAGTTGCATCACTGTAAGTGAAATTAGGATCAAGCATTGATGTCTGGGTTTAGCTCGCTGGCGTTCCGTCTTTAATATGACTCATTACTTACGCCATTAACGGGCATAAAGCTGCCCTGGCAGCACTGAGAGTCGGGGGAGCCTGTCTGACAGTGCTCTGCCCTGTCTTGTGGCAAGATTGGTGTTACACAAGCGCTCCGTCCGCTCTGGAGCGGGGCGGCTTCCTCCTGGTGTGGAGCAAGGTTTCGCCGACGTTATCCTGTATACTGCTTCCTCACAAGGTTAGGGAGCCAGCTGAAGCCTTCTTGGATGTTACTTTTTAATGAGGTGGGTCAAAGTCACTTTTATAGGGAGAGACAGACGTGGGTAGGTGGATTTTATTCATAAGGAATACAAATCCCTTGCATACCCAGACTCCTGCAAGCACCAGGAGCTTGAGTCCAGTTCAATGTTATCGTTACGGTAGGTCTGTCTGGATCAGTATTTCAATTTTCTACTCTTGGTTCTTTCTGTTTTGAGATCAGCAAATTCAGAGCTGCCTATTAAGTATATTATATTTTTGCTAATAAAGTCTCAGTGTTCTTTTATTCCGTTTTTCTATTCGGACTCATCCTAAACTGGTAAGACCTTACCTGGATTTTCTAGGGACTCTGTTGAAGATCCAGTGTAATAGAAAGACACTTCTGTGAGAGACCAGCCCTGCAGCTGCAGCCATGCAGAGTTTTGTTTCCGTCACGCTTGTTTTTATCCAATCCAAGAAACGTTATTTGAAAGTGGACCTTCTGCAAGGAAAAACAAACTAACGTTACAAATGTGTCAAGAGGCAGCCTAAAACTGATCACTAGAGAACTCATTAACTTTTCAGTCTGAATAAAAACTGTGCGTACGGTGCCTGTGGAGGTGTGTGTGCAGTGCAGAGGACCAGGCGTGGAAGTCAGCAGAAAGCTGGTCCTTGCAGTTATCTTTGGCAGAACAAGAATTTTTAGAATAGAATGAATGAGAATTGCTATGATTCCCTGCAGAGTCCTGCAGACATACACCCAGCCAGTAGTTTTCAGTCGGCTCGTGCTTTGGTTTTCTATCAACTTTGAAAAATAGTATTTTTGAAAGCTTTCTTCACGCTCAGTTACTGCTGGTTTTGGTGGAAGTAAATGGACGGAGCGTGCAAAGGCAAAGGAAAGCAATGAAACGTGTCAGTGGAATTTCCTTGGTGAAACTTTATATCACCTCTTAATATTTGACTCTGGGTATAACATTTATTTTGAAAAACTGAGTTATTCTAGATCTAGTTCATCAAGCTACATATGTTTTCATTTTTACTATGGTATTTCTATTGATGAAGATGATTTCTTGTCAGTCAGCACAGAACTAATGCCAGATAGACTTAGTAGCAATTCATGAGACGGCTTAATGATAACACTGTGGTACGTTCCTCCTCTGTCTCTGTTTTTGTAAAGGGGAAAAAATAAAAAAGATTTACTTGACTGAATTTTTCCCCTAATCAGTTTTGCGTCCAAGTCTGTTGCTAATGATTTACCACAGAGGATAAAGAATTTTTGATGCCCCGACTACAGCATAACCTTTGATGCCAAAAGCAATTGAAGGGTCAGACTACGATTTCACTGTAATTGCCTTTTCCCCTTTTCGCCGTCTCTTCCCAGTAATACACAACAATCAATACAGCATGTAATTAGATTTCATTCAATCTGTGAAGATTAAGAGAGTTTTCATCTTCTCATTATGTATGCCCACATCATGCCTTCCTACCCATGTCTTCTACGTTGGACCTCTTTGACCTATTCTGTTGCAGACGTGGAGGGATAAGTTTGGAGTATTCCCTTGAACTTGGCAGATTATCATTCTTTACACATCATAATTTGATTTTGCTCTCTTTGGGAAGATTAAATACAATAGCAATTTCCAGTATGACAAATGGGTTTTATATTGCATATGCATCTCATGGAGGAGGCTGGGGGAAAAAAGTGGACAATTCACGTAATTGTAGCACACAGGCTTAAAATGATGGAAATAGCAGGTCCTAGGTGCAGAGGACTGATTCATGCAGGCTGTGACTCCCGATTTTTAGAGTGTACTGGAAGCAAAGTGATTGCATTTAAAATTCAGCCTGGCAATCTGCATACTTAAAAGGTACAGTAGTATTTTTAAAAGGACAGTTGATTCTTCATAGGCTTGGGGCTGGTTGAAAACGGTTCCAAATTTCCATAGCAAAAGTAAGGGTTGGGAACAGGCTGCAAATGAATCAGGCGGATGTCCACATCAGATTTGTCAAAAAGAAGCTTTTGCAGCTGGCAACTTTCAGCTGAAGCGTAATTCCTTTGCAGAGAAGAGAGGTAAATCCACGTGTGCGAGGGGGGAGATTAGGCGTGACTGCCAGCCTTACATTAACGAAACCGCTCCTTCTCATACCCACAGGCGGATTCTCATAACTATTTCAATTTAGTTTGCTTATGGTCTGCTGCTAACATGTATCTGGCAAAATTAGCACATAATTATCTCCAGAAGTACCAGCTTGTTTGTGGGGACTGCTCTCAGCCATGTGCTTTCCTCGTACTGGCGTCTTCATGCGGTCTCGTTTCGAGGATTTGTTTAAGAAATGCAAGGCTGAGCCTAGTGAAGGCAGGAGTGGAAAGCACCAACTACTTTTATTTTTAAGTTAGGCTGCAGTTTATCTGTTTTGCACGCAGCATATAATAAGTATTTTCGATTGTCCTGCATCAGTTGCTCAAGCTGAGGTAGGTGAACATTTTTACAGGCCTGACCTTCAGTATTGCAAAGTGACGGTCAAGTCTGAAAGGCTGATTTCCACTTCACATTGGCTTTGACTAAGTCAGTCTTGATTTATGTAGCTGAGGAAGCTCATAATCAGTGATTTCAGGAAGGCCAAGATTTTATTCCCTAAAATAAGGGAAGAAAACATCACGAGTCGATATTTGGATAACCCCCATAAAAATATGACATAATATTCAAAATGATATTACTCTATTTAGGTACTTTAGGAAGAAAAGGTCTAAAGGTTT